CCTCCCGAGTGCTGGGATTAAAGGTGTGCGCCACCACCGCCCGGCACCTGTATTGTTACTACACATGCACAATGCTGTATACATAATAAATAAATAAATAAATACATCTTTAAAAAAAATAAGTTTAACTTGAAGACTTGATTCTGAAGATATCCAGACCAAGACATTGTCTCAGCACCAAGGCTAGATATCCCCCTGCTGATAGCCATTGTGCCAGACCCAACTCTTGGGGTGCACTGAAAGGCTTCCTATATGATTCTCTCCCAGGTCTAGGGGTGTGGGTCGTGGTCATTTCCTCCATGGCTGCCTTATCCCTCCATAAAAGCTCGTACAAACCCAGGGATGATCCTCGCTGGTTCGGCACACAAGCAGGGGAAGAGGACTCTGTCACCTCCTCAAGCTGGGCCAATTTCCCAGGTATCTGTATCTGTCACTCTATAGTCTTCATTCTGACTCAGCAGTTAGGGCAGTTGTCCGCTTACGCTGCCTTCACTGGCTCTTGGTGACTCATTATAGGGCTGGTTTCCAGCTGCTTCTGCTCCAGAAGTTTCAGCAGGGACCTTCTGGCACAACGGACCGTGGTCACCTTAGAGTGGGTACTGTCATTGTGGAGTTTGACAGGGGAAGGTATAAATTTTGTCCCCAGAATGTGAGTCAAGGCTGTCATTAAGGGAATCCATGGGAGGGGCTGGAGAGACGGGTCAGTGGTTAAGAGCACTGACTGCTCTTCCAGAGGACCCGGGTTCAATTCCCAGCACCCATATGGCAGCTCACACCTGTCTGGAACTCCGGTTCCAGGGTTTCTGACATCCTCACACAGACATGCATTCAGGCAAACATACCAATTAAAAAAAAAAAAAAGACACAGGACTTCCAGGGAAGAAGACCAGCAGGGCTGTGAGCAGACTGTTTCCAGTCCCAACTATAAAGGTACGCTGTACACCCCTCCCTCAGACAGCCAGCGCACCACTGTCCAGCTGTGCAGAGACTTGGTCTCTGGATAAGAAGGCTCAAATTGGGCAGCCAATGTCACGCGCTCCTGAGAGGAGTGTGACTCACAGATACCTTTCCCCTTTTTGCAGAGGCAGCTGATGGAGCATTCCTGAGCCAGACTGTGCAGGGCAGCTACAGGGTGGTGTCTAAAACCTCTGTGGCTGGGATTGGTGGATTAGTCAAACAACTGGAGGCTCTTAGGGGAAGTGATGAAGATTTAGCAGACTGGGATTTCCCAGTTCCCCCAGATACCCAGAAGCCAACAGCCTGGAATTTAACAACAACAACAACAACAACAACAAAACCAAAAGCACTTCCCTAAGGGGCTTCAGACTCTGAAGTTGAATTTTTGACTGACCAATTCCGCAGCCTATGCTGGATTACCTAGCACCTCACAGCCCCTGAGTACACGTCACTGCTGGTGACATTACCAGACTTTTTTTCTTTTTCTGGTTTGGTTCAGTTTAGACTCGTGCCACCCCTTCTGGCCTTGAACTCACTATGAGGCTCAGACTGGCTATGGACTCAAGGCAAACAATCTGCCTTAGCCCTCAGAGGTTGTGTTACTATGGCAAATTTGTGTTGAACTCTTCGTTGTTGCTGTTGTTGAGACAGTGTCTGGCTGTCTCGCTAGGTAACACTTTACCCCAGAACTATGTTCCCAGCTCTGGACTTTGATAAATTGGAATTGGGTATGGTAATACAAGCCTGAAATCCCAATGCTTAGGAGCTCAGGCAAGAGGAGTTTTTTTTGTTTTGTTTTTGTTTTGAGACGGTGTTTCTCTGTGTAGTTCTAACAGTCCTGGAACTTGCTCTGTAAACCAAGCTGGCCTTGAACTCTGCCTCTGGTGTGTTGGGACTACTAAAGGTGTGTGCCATCACTGCCCTGCTGGCAAGAAGATTGAAAGTTTGAGGGCTACAAAATGCTGGAGGGCTGGATGGTGGCTCACACCTTTAATCTCAACACAGGCAGAGTCAGGTGGATCTCTGCAAGTTTGGGGACAGCCTGGTCTACAAGAGCTAGTTCCAGGAGAGGCTCTAAAGCTACAAAGAGAAACCCTGTCTTGAAAAACCAAAAAGGAAAAAGAAAAAATGTTGGAGGGAAACCTTTGAATATTTTTTTTTTGAAGCTTGAACTTCCTCGTTCTGTTTCCCAAATGCAGGAAGGACAGAAATTGTCACCACTGCAGCTTTGTGTAAATGCTTTAGCCCATTCTCCAGAAAGTAGAAATTCTAAGACTACTAACCTTGTAAGTCCATACTGTCTGAGAGAATCAGGGACAGAGGCTGGTAATTCCAGGCTTTGTTCTAACATCAACCACAAGGGACTTGAACAGCCCACCGTGGCTCCTGTTGAAAGTTGAGGAATACCAGGCAAAGGCCTCAGCTCAGAACACACAATTCCCAGGAATACTGTCTGGAAGATTTGGGGGACTCCGACTCAAACAGAAATCCCAAACTCAAGAACCTCTGTGCTCCAAGTGGCCAAGGCTGCACATGCGAAGAGTGCCCGGACCTTGTCTCATTGGAGGTGTTCACTGACGGGTGGACGGGCGGGTCTGTGGGTCCTCCCTACTGCTCTGTGGGTGGCACCTTCACTCACACACTTTCTTACGATCCTCTGAGCTGGGAGCGCAGATGAAACTTTTCCACAACACACGAAGAGATAATCTTCACGTACAAGCGGTGGGGTGAGGTGGGGTGTCTATCACCCAGCTACAGAGAAAAATGTTTAATTTCCCTGCTTTAGGGAAGCAAGTTAGAAGACATGGGACCTGACTCTTCGTAAGAGGCCAGAACTGAGCCCTGGAGATGCAGAGCCACAGAACCATCCGTAACAGGTTCTCTCAGGACTGGGGTACACAGACTCAGGGAGTAGCCTCTAAGCACTGAGGGATGGTGGAAACACCCCTGCAGGCAGGGAGCTCTCATTCAGTGTGCCCTGGGCTTTACACCTAAAGGGTGTGTAACATGTTGGCTTAGTGCTGGCTGGAGAGGGGCCAGGTGATGTAAGGTCAGCTAACTACATTGCCTTCCCAGCTCCCCAGTCTGCCAAGGAGCTACCCAGTTTCGGGCCTCCCGTGACCACCTAGTAGGTTGGGTTTCCCTGCTTCATGCCCTAGCTCCCAGCACTTTTGAGGGTGAGTTTCTTAGAAATAGGGTCATTGTTAGTAAAAATGGATAGGGTGAGGTCACACTGGAGTAGGGTGTACCCTAAGTCTTTGTAAGAACGTCTATGGACGGCGTCTTTATAAGAAGAAATCCATGCCAGATATGATGGCACATGCCTATAATTCCAGCACTTTTTTTTTTGAGGAGGCTCAGAGAGGAGAATTACAAGTTCAAGGCTGGCCAACCTGGAAAACAACCACCTTTCCTAAAGGAAAAAAATTTTTAATGGGGTCGCTCAGTGTGGTGGTGCACATCTGTAATCCCGGCACTTGGGAACTGACGGCTGGGGTGCTCAGGAGTTTGCCTGAGTCCCAGTTCTAAAGGGAGTTCTCAGCCAGTGCCTCTGTCTGGAAAACAAACAAACAAGGTGGGGTTAGTTAGGACGTGGACACAGGAATAGAAAGAAGCCGTTAGAGATGAATGGGCAAATATTTTTAGAAGCCAAAGAACACCAAGGACTGGACTGACTTCTAGAGGCTGGGAAGCCTGTAGCAGAGGCTCCCTCAGAACCTCTGGAGTCCTCCCCGGTCTCAGGCTGCCGGGCTCAGGAACCATGAGAGCAAACGCTTGTTTTTCTGTTTTGTTTTTTTGGGAGGTTTATTTTTCGAGACAGGGTTTCTTTGCATCTTTGAAACCTGTCCTGTAGCTAGCTCTGTAAACCAAGCTGGCCTTGAACTCACAGAGATCCGCCTGCCTCTGCTTCCCCAGTGCTGTGATTAAAAGGGGTGCCCTACCACCGTCCGGTGAGAGCAAACCCTTCTTTGAGAGTTGAGACCCGGGTCTGTGTGACTTGGTCACAGCAACCCCAGCCAACCATTAGCTTTCAGGGAGCCAGGGGAAGCTGTAGAGTCAGATTTTCCACAGCTTCATAACCAAGTTTCAGGGCTCCTCTGGCCCAGTGTATTCCTGCATTCCATCTACCAGGTAGTCTCATGCTCCCAAGCCAAGCACCACCTGAGACCTTGTCTGAGGCTGTTGCAAAAGCAAGACAGAGTCTGCAGGAAACTAACGTGTGGGGTCCTTCCCTTTCCTCACCTGTAATGGGCACCACCTGATCTCTTAGGAATGGACTGGATGACACCTTCAACATAGTCTCTAGGAGACTGTCCAGACCCCAAAGCAGTGTGTGCGTGCATGTGTGTGTGTGTGTGTGTGTGCACGCACACATGTGCAAGGCGGGTGCTTGGGACTGGTAGTGTTGGCCTGCAGGACTGAGATCCTAGCCAAGGCAGCAGCAGTTCCTGTCAGTACGATACACCCTGAAGCGGTTCTCGGAATCTTCTCTAGAAGCTACAAGGGAAGGTTAAGAGCGACATGTTGGGAAATGAACAGCGCTGAGACCTCCTAAATGACAACGGATCAATGCTTTTCAGATGGCGATAGGGCTCAGCTTCCAGCAGGTAAACAGGTAAGCCATCCTCCAAGCTTGGCTCCTCCTGATGCCCTTGAGCCCACATCCACGGCTTTTCCCGTGGGCTCTCTCCTCGTCCTTCTCCTAGCCCTCTACAAGGCACCTTCTAGGTCCAGCTGCGGACAGGGTGTAGTAGCCAGGAAGGATCTGACCCCTTTGGCCGGACATAGCAACAGGTGTGCTGAAAGATGAGCCACTAAACATGATCCTGTGCTCCGGGAGGGGGGAGCAGCTCGGTTTCAGCCCCTCGCGCCTGTAAGCATGACTGAGCAGCTTTATATAGCCCCGCAAGCCCTATATAAGCTGGAATTGAGGTTCTGTCAAGCCAGAGAGCCTACACACCGATCTGGTCTGGCTGGCATACTTCCCATTCATACCTACTGAAGTAGGGGCCCCACAGAGATAGTCCACCCCAACCCCCGGGATGCCCAGCAGAACTGCCCGCTATGCTCGCTACAGCCCCAGACAGCGGCGGCGGCGGCTGTTGGCCGATCGCAGCGTGCGTTTCCCTAATGATGTTCTCTTCTTGGACCACATCCGTCAAGGCGACCTGGAGCAGGTGGGACGCTTTATCCGGGCTCGCAAAGTCTCCTTGGACACTATCCACCCCTCAGGTGAGTACGAGTGGCCGGACTGGTCTGTCTATAAAGAGGTAGGGGAAATTCTATGCAGAGGGTTACAGCTTTGACCCTGTCTTCCCACCATGCCCAGGCCTGGCCGCTCTGCATGAAGCTGTGCTCTCTGGAAACCTGGACTGTGTAAAGTTGCTGGTCAAATATGGTGCGGACATTCACCAGCGAGATGAGACTGGCTGGACACCTCTGCATATTGCTTGCAGCGATGGGTACCCTGACATAGCCAGGTGAGACTCTGGAATAGGGCACAGAGGCTCCATCCCACTCCCTCCAGGCTTCAATTGGTCTCCAGCATGTGAACCCCCAAAGATAGCTCTGACGGTGTAGGCAGCAACTCTGAGGGATTCTGGCAGTTTCTATCCGATTGCAACATTAGAGCAAACTGGAAAATCTGGCCATAGCTTCCAAGGGGTCAGGTTTCTCCCTCCTCTGCCTGGAAAAAACAAAAACAAACAGGTGACCCCCAAATTCTAGCCTTCTGTTCCTGGGAGGGCTGAGTAGGCTTTAACCAACAGCCCTTCACACCCCAGGTATCTCATCTCTTTGGGAGCAGACAGGGATGCAGCCAACGATGATGGCGATCTGCCCTCCGACCTTATTGACCCAGACTTCAAGGACTTGGTGGAACTCTTCAAAGGAACCAGTATGGACTGAGGGACTGAGCCAGCCCTGTCCTTGGGTTTGTGCCTCCCTGGAGGAGAGGCAAGCACCTTGCCCTAGGGGCCAAGGTGTGCGCACTGAGCCGCACTGAGCGTGCCAGGGAGGCAGCCAGGATGCTAGGACTTGTCGTGGGGGCACGACTTCCCCTGCCCCCAAACCCATTTTCTCTGGCCTGACTTTTTCTCCAGGCTTTACTTTTTTGTCTGTTTGTTTTTTCCTTTTTTATGATACTTTTTACTTTTTCAATAAACGTGATTTCCAAGCTGTGATGATGACTAATTAGCGCGGTCCAGTGCCAAACCATCGTCATGCACGCTGAGATGCGGCTTCGTGGCGGTGCAACGCCTCAGGGTAGAGCGGCTGGGACCCGGGCCGCCCCTGTCCCGGTCCAGCCGTCTCCTTTCTCAGACACGCGGGGAAAAACCTCCCCAACCCCGCGTTTCCGGGACGACCTCGTGCGCCTCCGACCTCGCCGTACCCCGTGCGCCGGCGATCACGTGGCCCGCGCCGTGCGCGCCTGCGCGGCTGCGTCACTTCCGGCCGGCCCACTGGCAGCGGCGGCGGCGGCGGCGGCGGCGGCGAGGAGGGCGAGGTGAGGAGGGCGCGGCGCGGGTGGCGCGGCGGGGCGGGGCGCTGCGGGCTCCGCGGGACCTTGACCGCTCCGCCCCGCCCCGCCCTGGTGTCGCTGGGTCGCCCTGCCGGCGCGGGGAGAGACGAGGCCGGTGTCGCCGCGGGGTGCGGACGTGGCAGCAGCTCGGAGGAGCCTCTCTTGCCGGGCCTCCCGCGGGGAGACGACGCCCGCAGTCCCGGGGCAGCCTCCCCGCGGGCTCTTCCCGCTTCTGGGCCGCGCAGGCCCGGCTCTCCAACCCGCGCCCGTGTCTTTGCTCGTTACCTGCCCTGCCCACATTGCTTTTGTGCAGATGCAGTGGCTCTGCGCAAGTTCAGTCCACAAGGTGGACGGGATGGATGGTGGCCGGAAGTCCCGTGCCCCTGTTGACAAAGCAGTCCTGGTTCTGGGGCGATCGACCCTCTGGATGGTACCTTTCAGACAGAGGACAAGCTCAAGCAAAGGTCTCCAGTGAGTTAGGATCAGCTGTGAACTTGTGGCTGGGGAGTGTCTAGGGCAGAAAGGGACGCACGCACACACCACACACACACACACACACACACACACACACACACACACACGACGGGGGCGGGGGGCAGCAGGAGCCAGGTCCTCCAAATGAGGGGCCTGGGAATACTGTGGTTTGCTAGTCCAGGGAAAGAAGAGGCTAACCTGACATTCTAGGTCATCATCCAGAAGCACATCTGTCACAGCACAGCGTCCCTTGCTCGTTTGGTTAGTCATTAAGTAAAGGCCTCATAATCTGTAAAGGACACAAGACATGGAAGAACGAACCAGAAAATTTGAAGCAGGGACTGATGGCACCTGTTTGTAAGCCCAGGACTTGGTGAGGTAGAGTCAGGAGGATCAGAAGTTTAAGACCAGCCGGGGCTATATGAGACCTTTTTCTAAAAGGAATGGGGAGTGGAAGGAAGAAAACAAAATTTGGATAGCAGAAATTCCAAAAGAACAATAATGGCCAGTCTTTGCACCGTTAGTTCTGGTGGGGGACTCCTGTTGTCGCTTTCTTGGGCAGCAAAGTATGTGCCACCTAGCGTCAGGTCCCTGGCATGTTGAATGCGTTTAGAAAAGTTGAAGTGGGTTTTGGATCCCCTGCAGCTTGTCCTGTCTCCCCATGTTGCCTTCTAGGAAGTCCCTGAAGGCCTTGGGTCTCTTCGAAGCTAATGGTTCTGCATAGAATAAACCCATTCAGTAAGAACTCCCTGTGGGATAGAGGACTATGAGCAGCCCCGCATGGTGTCACTGGGAAGCGGGCATTTCAGAGTGGAGAGGAACCTGTTGTAGCATGCAGACAGGAATTGAGGCAAGCTCAGGGAAAATCAGCATCCCGGCCAGCAGCTGCAGCCTTGAAGGCTTTGGGTTGGGTGGGGACTGGGAGAGCACCTGTGCTAGGTGACAGCTGCTTCATCCTCTGCAATAGGCTCTCCAGATGTCTTCTTCCTGGCTAGCTGTGATAGGAACACGGATAGTATATAAAGTTCCAAGCCCCAGGGACTGCCTTATAGTCCTCCCTTGGCAAGGGTCTGCTGTGGCGTGTCTGGTTCTCAGCCCCTGGACCTCCACCTTGTTTAAGTATGAGCTGCACCACATCTTCTGTCTCATACCCAGCGGTCTGTAGCATCCCTTTAGTTACTAGTTTCCACTGGGATGGGGCAGTATGGCTCTGTCGTGTCCATTACCCTGTTGGCTGAAGATCCAGGCTTCAGGTGGCTGTGCATTCGTTGGAGCAGGAGGACTTGGTAAACTGTCTGTGGTGACCACTTCACTTTCAGCGGGGAAGCCAAAGCCCTTGTCTGGAGGCCCCGGAGAGAAGATTAGGGAGTAGGACTTTTAAAAGGCAGCTGTGGAGAACCTGGAGGGAGAAAGAAAGACTTGGTCTGACCTTAGGTGGGACCGTGTTTATTCATGGAGAGCGCTTTGTACCTAGCAGTGCAGATGGCCAAAATGCCTGCAGAGGAAGATGGGATGTGGCCCCTTATAGAGGCAGGCGGTACTTCCATGGTCGCAAGGGAAGCTGGAAGCAAGTTTACACCTGACTGCTCTGGGGGCTGTGGTATAGTAGCTGGTGACACAGGAGATGCACACGGACCGAGAGCCGTACGACAGTGCACGGCCCAAGTGGACAGAGAGCCGCACGAGGGTGCACGGCCCAAGTGGACAGAGAGCCGCACAATGGAGCACAGCCCAAGTGGTTCCCCTGAGCAGGGCTGAGAAGTGTCAGGAAGCTGTGCTGCCACTTCAGTCTACAGTGGAGTCGGGAAGCTGGGGCAGCAGGGATGAGTGTGCAGGTCAGAGGAGGGCAGGGCCACAGGTAGGGATATGTCACTGAGGATCATCACGTCTGAGATACCATCATTGTTAGTTGTGTCTTATGAGTTTCCCCCCAAAACAAAACAAAACACACACACACACACACACACACAAAGCACCACCACCAACAACAAAAAACCCAAAAAGTGTGTCTACAAACACAGCAGAGCTTGGTGGTAGCACAGGCTCGTAGCCTAGCTACTCAGGATGCCGATGCAGGAGGATTGCAAGTCCATGGCCTGCTTAGTTAACAGTAAGTTCAAAGACAGCCTGGGCAAATTAGATCCTTCTCAGAAGTAAAGAAGGAAGAGTTTACACCTAAGGTATCACAGTTGCCTAGCATGCACGAGGCCCCAGAGTTATGGACTTTGATGTTCAGAATTATTGGACAACCACTTTGAAAGACACAGAGGAAAGAGGTTGTGGTTGCGCCAGACATAGTGGTAGTTTATGCCTGCAGTTCCAGCCCTGGGGGCTGAAGACAGGAGAACCAGGAGGCCATGGCTGGCCTTGACTACACGGTGATTTTGAGGCCAGCCTGGGCTTCCTGTCTTTAAACACAAACAGCAAAAGACCCAAAAAGTGCTGTGGATTTGATGGAATGAGGGATATGTGGCTGGGGCATCGAGACACTGGTAACAGAAGAAAAGCAGGGCCAGAAAGTACTGGGCGTGGAGCTCAGGGTGGCCTTGCCCAGCCTCTGCCCCCACTGCCATCCTAGTGGGAGCCCCAGGGTGTAGAGGCCTGGATACTACATGAATTCTTGTGCAGTAAGGTTCTTTCCCTGGCTGCTCACTCACAATGGATGCCCTTTCTTAGACCACCACCCCATTTATCTGGGCTGCTGGGCAGTGGCCTGTGATCTCAGAGACCCTGCAGTGTGCTCAAGTTTGTGGACATCCATGTGCTTCTGCAGACTCTGCCATTATTAGTCCATTGTCCCTGCTTTGGTGCTGGATCCCGACACATTCAGCCTTTTTAGAGACCCTGCTCGCTTGGTATCATGTTACTTCATTCCTCGCCAGGAAACATGCTCAGGTTTCTCTGCTTCACCAAACAGAGCCTGCTGCCAGCAGGGCTGGAGCACCCAGGCAGAGGGCATTGGAGGATGTGACCACCAGAGCCTAAGGCTGCATGGGTAGGAGAGGTAGCAGAGAGTAATGGCCTGGAGGCAGGCACTACCAAGCAGCAATGACAGAAAAAGGATACTTGGTCCCTGGAACTAAAGCCGGGGTTAGCCCCAAGCACTGCCCTGCTGTGTCCTGGCTGTAACTGGAGCTCCCCAGCTCGTCTCGCTGCCCCCATCACACCTCAGAGGGCTTTCCTTGTGCTTGATGTCTGGGCTGGCAGCTTTGGGAAAGACTAAGACAGTAGAGGCGGGGAGCCAGGTTCAGGGAGAGAACAGGTTCTAGAGCTCTTACAAGAGCTGACGTGATGCTGTCGAGGTGTCCACCCATCTGAAGAGTTAATGACGGCTCACTGACCATAGAAGAGCCTTTGAGAAAGCCTGGTGTGGCATGCTTGGGACTGTCTGGGTCTCCTTCCTCTTCAGCATTTGGGGTTGCCCCATCTGGACCAAGGCCAGGCTTAGAACTAACCTTGTATGACTAGTTTTCTCGTCTTGGACTGTGTGTCCTCAGCTGGTTAATTATGAGATTCTGACCCTAAACATAGATACCCCACTCATTCGGCAGCAAAAATCCTCTGGCCTATAAAGAGGTTGCACCCCAGGTTCCAGTCACTGGGTCAGACCAGGCCTGGCTGCTCCCTCCAGGGATGTCTTCCTCCTGGTCTGCTTTGTCTTTGTTCTCTAGTGTCCTGGGGTCACTGGTCAGATGTCCCTGAGCTAGGAAAGCTAATTTTCTCATGGTGCAGTTCCCACGGACAGCAGGGAAGCCGAGTCTCAGGCTTTGCAGAAGAATGCACTGAGTCCTAGTAGCCCTCCGGGGCAGATCTGGGGTCTGCAGACTGAAGACAGGAGTGGGTGCGAGATGGGGCTGAGCACATGGCCTCAGTGGCCTGTTGTGCCCTTTGTGTCCTGACTGACACTGACCCCATAGCTGTTCAGGATTGCTTGGATCCACTGACGACTCAAGTCTAAGGGTCCTGGTGGACTCAGGGCCGCAGAGGTGGTTCCTGTTTCTGCTGGAAGGGTGACATCTGCAGTGCTTTGGGTTTCTGTTCCACAGGCCGCAGGATTCAGCACCCAAGCACCAGGACCAGACACCCAGCGATGACCAGGTGGGTGTTAAGTTTATGTGTGTGTGGGGGTTTGGGACCCCACCTGTCCCACTATCGCTTCTCACACTGGAGCTTCCCCCAGCTCGCCTGTCTCCAGAGTCGTCTACAACGGCAAGAGGAACAGCAGTCCCCGCTCCCCCACCAACAGCAGCGAGATCTTCACGCCGGCACACGAGGAGAATGTGCGCTTCATTTATGAAGGTTGGTGCACCGGTGCCTGTGGTCTGCTTCTGCTGCCCGCTGTGGGTCTTCCCACACCAAGAAAAGGCGTGGGCGATGGGTGGAACCAGAAGAGATGGGATCTCTGAGTCGGTCCTCAGGCCTAGAAGCTTCCCTGGGAGAGTAACTAGCTGTGATCACAGTGTGCTGTGGTTGAAATTGGAGGTGGGACTGGGTGGGACCCTCTAAGGCACTTGTGTGTCCTTCTGTAGTGGAGGAGGCCATGGCACAGGAAGGACGGGCAGGAGAAGCCGATGCAGGGGCTCTGCAGGATGGGGAAACTGGTGGAGGCGGGATGGGTACCGCGGAAGGAGACAGCCGTCTGCTTGGCCCAGCGTCGGGCAGACCCTCTGCACCCGTGCTGTGGGCTGAGGGCTGCAGAGCCCTGATCACTGCCCAGCGTCGGGCAGACCCTCTGCACCCGTGTTGTGGGCTGAGGGCTGCAGGGCCCTGACCCACTGTCCTGTCGCAGCCTGGCAGGGTGTTGAACGAGACCTGCGCAGCCAGCTGTCTGGTGGAGAGCGGGGCCTAGTGGAGGAGTATGTGGAGAAGGTTCCTAACCCCAGCCTGAAGAGTGAGTGGGGGGACCTGGGGAGCCGCACTGCTGTCCTTCCCAAGGCTCCTCGGTTGGTGCCGTGGAGACCGGGTGGGGTTCTGTCCCGAGCACCAACCAGACTGTCTCCTGACAGCCTTCAAGCCCATTGACCTGAGTGACCTGAAGCGCAGGAACACGCAGGATGCCAAGAAGTCCTAGAGTGCCTGGCGCCAGTCCCCTGGCCTCCGGAAGATCAGGGTGCACTTGATGTTGGTTTCCTCTGCTCCTGGGAGGGGGGAGAGTGCTCTAGTGGGCTGTAGTCCCCAGGGCCAGCAGGATTGGTGACCAAGGCCCTTCCTTTCCTCTCCAGGGTCTCAAGTTGCCCCTGTCACTGGGGGAACAGGGGTCTGGCTATGTCAGCCCTTGTCCCTTTCCCCTGCCAGCTGCATCTTGGGTAGCACCTGGCCCTGCCTACCCAGCCCTCTCTGCTGTTACCTGCCATGCCTCGCGCCTCTCCTTCCTGGCCACCTGAGGTCAGAAAGGAAAAAAGGGACCTCTCTTCGGCTGTTGGGATCTCGAATGACCGGAAATCAGGACTGTGCAATCCCACCTGCATCCAGTGTGGCCCTTTCCGTGGAGCCTGGACGTTTGGGGAGCTCCCTCATCCCACTGTCCATCTTGCCCCTTTCTTGCCTCAGTTTCAGAGTGGAGTCAACTCTGAGCAGAGGACAGTGCTGGCTCCTGAAGGGGCCTCTGGCGACCAGACCTGGTCTCCTGGTACCTGTAGCCCTGTGGCCACAGCAGTGCCCGTGAGCAGGGGCACTGAGGCTGACCTTGAAGGAGTGGTGCTGCCAGGCCTGTCCTGGCTTTCTGGGGTGTACTGGGAGGATCACCAAGGCCCCCTTTTTTGTGCCCTCTTGAATCCAGGTGTCTGTGTTGGAGACAGAGACTGAGGGTCTGTGAATAAAGGCTGGTGGCACTGGACGTGGCTTCTTAACAGTCTGTCAGGCCCCGTGACCAAACCCCCCCCCCCCCCCCAGTCTGTTAAGTGTAAAACCAGCTCTTCGCTTCATCCAGGCTGCCCTCCTGTGGAGCCCTGAGTGTAGTTAGCATGCTTCGGCCACCTTGAGCTGCTGGCTTGGTCTATGGGCTGTGAGGAGCATGGGCTCCTCCGCTGTCCCGGGGCAGCTGCTGGGCCCAGGAGAGGCCTGACTGCATTTGACCTCCAGTCGTGGAACCAGTCCTGGAATGCTCCTGGTCCTGAGAAGATGCCAAAGCGAAATTTATTTCAGGACCATGCTTTCCCAGAAGAGTATTCCGGGGCTTGAGTGGCCCCCAGAGACATCTCCTGGGTGTGGGTTGGGCAAGACAAGTCTCCTCAGGGAGGTGCAGGCCATACAGGCCGGTGATAAATAGCTGTGGGAGGTGCCGAGCCACCCATGACTTGGCATTGTTAGTTCTCTGGGGCTCCGTGTCCTAGGCTGTGGGTCACCCAATCGGCCTCCCATTGTCAGGACTGGAAGGGATCAAGCAAAGCCCTAACCTGAGAATATCCTGCCTCCTAGTGGTGTTGATTCGAGTCCAGGTGCACTTCAGGGCTGCCCCGCTTTTTCTGCAGGGGTAGTGGGCCTGGACTCCAACTGGGCTGGTGCCACACACATGACCTTCAGTTGAGCTGTCATACCCCAGCCTCTTAGTGCTCAGTTCTCATGTGGTTTCCCGGGCTAAGTACCTGTCGCCACTGTCAGTCACCATGGGTTCTCTTGATGAGGTAATCCCAGTATAGAGAGCTCAGTACCAGACAGCTCTTGGACATACCTAAATGCCCCTGAAACGTATCAGAGCCTTATAACTGGGCTCCTAACAAGTGGATCAGTTCTGTATTGGCATGTGGGTTCTCCTGCCTTCTTCCCCAGTGACCCCAGCCCCCTAGGCCTGTGTGGTTTGCCTCTCTGTTCCCCAAGAATCCATGCCTTGTACTCAGTGCTAGCTGGAGTCCATTGTAAACCCTGGGAGGGCTTTCGAGGGACTTCCCAGTACGTGTGCCCACTGCACGGGGCCTCGCGTGCTGGAGGATCCCAGGTCAAAGCTGATGGGCCTCTCAGGTCAGATGGTGAGCAGGGTGGGGCACCTGCTTGGAGGACTCAGGAAGGTTTGCCATTGTTACGTGGCCCCCAAACCGCAGGGTCCCCACCTCCTACTGCCCATCCACCCTGGTACGGCCTTTGCCTCCGTCTGCCTGTGGAGAGAGGGGCCAAGGTCTGGGTATGGATGCCTGCAACGGGTCTCCCATCCACCCTGGTGTGGGCTTTGCATCCCTCTGCCTGCGGAGAGAGGGGTCAGGATCTGAGTACAGATGCCTGCAGCGGTCTCCCATCCACCCTGGTGCGGGCCCATCCTGAAGCTGCTCTGTCCCCACTGTACTTCAGTGATACTTGAAACCCTTAGCCATCCCGAGGGCTACCAGGCTTAGTAGTGGGTTGTAGAGTGATGAGTGTGCCCCTCCACCTGTGCTGTTTACAGATGACCACACGCACAGGTATGGAGTGAGTGAGAGGATGAGTGTGCCCCTCCACCTGTGCTGTTTACAGATGGCCACACGGCACAGGTGTAGAGTGAGTGAGAGGATGAGTGTGCCCCTCCACCTGTGCTGTTTACAGATGACCACACGCACAGGTGTAGAGTGAGTGAGAGGATGAGTGTGCCCCTCCACCTGTGCTGTTTACAGATGGCCACACGGCACAGGTGTAGAGTGAGTGAGAGGATGAGTGTGCCCCTCCACCTGTGCTGTTTACAGATGACCACACGCACAGGTGTAGAGTGAGTGAGAGGATGAGTGTGCCCCTCCACCTGTGCTGTTTACAGATGACCACATGGCACAGTTGGCTTTCAGCTAGTGGTGACAAAATTGCATAAAAAACTAACGTGGAGGTTTTTGCTTTTTAGAGATGGGCCTGAAACTCTCGCAGATACCCTCTGCCTCCCATGTTCTGGGAGTTAAAGGTGTGTGCCACCACAGCCCGCCATGCTTGAGTTTCCATTTATCGGTTGTCCACTTCCTGCTGCACCTCTAATATAAAGCTTGGGCCGTTCCTGTCCGATGTCTTTTCTATAGTTTTTTTTAAAATTGTGTTTATTATAAGATTAAAAAAAAAAAGCCGGGTGGTGGTGGCGCACACCTTTAATCCCAGCACTCGGGAGGCCAGCCTGGTCTACAGAGTGAGTTCCAGGACAGGCTCCAAAAACTACAGAGAAACCCTCTCTTGAAAAACAAAACACCCCCCCCCCTTTAGACATCTTTTTTTTTTTTTTTGACAGTAAAGTGAGAGGTACAAACTGTCTTTATTATGGGGATTTAGAGGAAATGGGGTTCAGAGGGAAACAGACTCACGGAATAACAGACCAGCTGCAACCCGCTGTCCTGCTGCTCTGCCCTGGGGAGAGGCGACCAGCCACAGAGCTCCCAAGAAGGCTTCTCTCAGCTTATCAGTCCACACATAGCATCTCAGACCACGCCCTGAGGGCCGGTCCCCAAAAGCTATCGGCTGAATGAATTCCCACAACAAAACGATCTCACTGTGTAGCTCTGGCTATTCTGGAATTCCTATGTCACCATGTAGACCATCTGGCCTCAGAGTCATGAAGATCCATCTATACTATAATGCAAGTTGTGTGGTGCGGTGTGTGTGTGAGTGTGTGTGTGAGTGAGTGTCCGTAGAGACCCAGGGTACACGATGGATCCCCTCGACTGGTAGCTATAGTCAATTGTGAGCTGCTTGGTATGAGTGCTGGAATCTGAATTCCAGTCCTCTGCAAGAACAGAAAGTGTTCTTCACCACAAAGCCATCTCTCCAACCCCCACAGTGGTTTTTCTTCTGTCTTATTCTTCTTGAGACAGGATCTCAAGGTGGCCTCACCATTGCTATGTAGCTGAGGTAACCTTGAATTTCCAATCCTTCTTCCATCCAGCTTTGTGAATGCAGGGGTTGTAGGCGTGTGTCCCTGCATCTAGTTTATGCCGAGGACAGTGCTAGGCAGGTACTCTCTACAACCGAGTCCCCGCCCCTGCCCTCCTAGATGGTTCTGTTTTCACTACAGTTTTGGCTACATCAAGATTGAATGGTTACATTCTGATGTTTCTGTTTGTATTCAAAAGCCAAAGACATGGTAAATTGTTTTTTTGTATTTTCACCCTTGGAATTGCTAATTGCCCTCTTTTGCTATCTGCCTCATTTTCTTTCTCTTTTTACCTTTTTTGTGTGTCCTTATGTGTATACATGTATGTGCATGTTCACGTATGTGCAAGCACATGTGTATGTGCAGGAGTGGAAGCTTGGGAAACGCCTAAGGCCGCCTGCCTCCTTTGAGACAGGTCTTTTATTGGCTGGAAGCACTTGTCAGTTAGGCTAGACTGGCTGGCTGGTTTCCCAGCACTGGGATTGCACTTACCCAGCATGCATTCTGCCTTACTTGTGGAATTAACCACAGATTCATACACCTATACCCTCTGCCCTTTAGGGCTTTGTTGTCTGTGTGTTTGAGACAGGGTCTTTCTACATAGCTCTGGCTGTCCTAGAACTCACCATGCAGACCAAGCTTGCCTCAAAATCATAGAGGTCCGCCTGCCTCTGCCCTCCTAAATGCTGGGATTTAAGGTGTGCGCTGTGGCCTACAGCCAGCACCTGTTGAAGGGAAGCCACTTGTTTGTTTCCTGGCTGCCCGGCAGCTCAGACACAAAATAATCACCCAGAAACTATATTATTTAAAACACTGCTTGTTCCATTAGCTCTAGCTTCTTTTTTTTTTTTTTTTTTTTTTTTCGAGACAGGGTTTCTCCGTAGCTTTTGGTTCCTGTCCTGGAACTAGCTCTTGTAGACCAGGCTGGCCTCGAACTCACAGAGATCCGCCTGCCTCTGCCTCCCGAGTGCTGGGATTAAAGGCGTGTGCCACCACTGCCCGGCTAGCTCTAGCTTCTTATTGGCTAACTCTTACATCTTAATTTAGCCTATTTCTAGTCATCTGTGTATGGCCACGTGGCTGTAGTTTACCGGGTAAAGTTCCCAGCGTCTGTCTCTGGTGGGGCTACATGGCTTTTCTCTGACTCCGCCCTTTTTTCTCTGAACTTTCCATGCCTAACAAAGTTCTACCCTATCAGGCCAAGGCGGTTTCTTTATTAAACAGTGGTATTCACAGCACACAGAGGGGAATCTCACATCACCTCCTTTTCTGTTTAAATGAAAAGGAGGTTTTAACTTTAACATAGTAAAATTACATATAACAAGACAGGTATCAAGCAAGAATTACAGCTATAATATTTATATATACTTTATATTTTATCATATGTAAGGAAAACTATAACTATTAATTCTTCAACTCCATCAAAGACTCCAGAAAGATATAATATTACCTAAGCAAACAGGAAGTGCATTGTGAGCAACTTCCAAAACTCTAGAATTGATTGAGCATCTCACTGTCGAACAGTCACCCAAAGTTTTTCTGTATCATTGGGACAACCATCTTCAGCCTACAGGCCCATAGTATCTGGAAGACTTTTCCATGAAGCGGAAAATTTCAAAGACAGTTCAGTCACTTTCTTCTGTGGGCCACAGAATGTCTTACAGACTTTGATGAAGCAGGAACCCCAAAGGATGGTCTCACCTTTAGGCAAGTTCAGCAGTCGTTTCTCTGTGGGTCCTGCATGTCCAGTTCATCAAGCAGTCCAGGCAAAAGCAGTTTCTTGCCCAAATGGCTAACCAACTCCATAAGGAGCTTCTTCAATGCCCATCTTCCTCTTGAAGTAATTGGTGCTGCCAGGAGAGGTGTGTCTCACTGTCATGAAAAGTCCTAAATTCTTAAAGCATTTTAAATGCCATATTCTGTAGTCTTTGAAAAGTTTGAAGAATGCCTATCCATCTGAAATACATTACTTTACATCTAGAAAATCTTAACTAACGACTACAAGCTTGACTATTATAGATGACTATCTATTAACCTATATTTCTTAATTATACATTAAATTTTTAAGATTTGTTTATTAATTATGTATATAGCATCTGCCTGCATGTATCCCTGCAGGTCAGAAGAGGGCACCAGATCTTATTACAGATGGTTGTGAGCCACCATGTGGTTGCTGGGATTTGAACTCAGGACCTCTGGAAGAAAAGTCAGTGCTCTTAACCTTTGAGCATTCTCTCAGCCCCATACATTAAATTTTTAAATGAGCTGCACAAACACAATACCTTAATCAAGAGCAGAAATATACAGGTACACAGTATAACAAAATTGACCTTAAATTTGTATCAGTAAACCAAGATCCAAGGCCGGGCGTGGTGGCGCACGCCTTTAATCCCAGCACTCGGGAGGCAGAGGCAGGCAGATCTCTGTGAGTTCAAGACCAGCCTGGTCTACAGAGCTAGTTCCAGGACAGGCTCCAAAGCCACAGAGAAACCCTGTCTCGAAAAACGCCCCCCCCAAAAAAAAACCAATAAAAACAAAAAACCAAGATCCATGCAATTCAAATCTCTATAGAATACACCCCTTTAAATGTAAGCAAACATTTATAAACAATATTTGGGGGCTGGAGAGATTGCTCAGTGATTAAAAGTGCTGCTTCTTCCAAAGGACCTGAGCTCAATTCCCAGCAACCACATGGTGACTCACAACCATCTGTAGTGAGATTTGGCACCCTCTCCTGACCAGCAGGCATACATGTAGACAGAACACTGTATACATAATAAATAAATGTTTAAAAATTTGGGGGAATATGGGCATAGTTCTCTTCAAACTACTTCCTGCTATTTGTTGGGCAAAGTATTTTTCTTTTGGGGGTGTTCATTGGCAATCTTTCAAGGGGTCTTGGTGAGTCAAACCACATTAGTCTGGAATTAATCCACAGGTTCTTATCCTCTGTGGAAACAAAAGAAGAAACTCTTTTCCAAAGCAATATTTCCTTAGACCCAAATTCTGAAGTCAAGATACCTTTATAATATACATGCTGGTTTAGCTTAGCAGCCCATACAATGAAATGTCTCTGTGTACTTAGCTCCTTCACAGTCAAAAAAATTCAGAGAAAGCACAATAATATACATAATCCAGACTCTCTGTGAATTTTCCATCTTTACGTGGTTTATTTTTCTTTATTCCTTTTAATCTATGACTGTACTCTGTCTCTTTAACGACTTTACCTTTTTTTAAAAAAAAAACTTTTGAGCCGGGCGGTGGTGGCGCACGCCTTTAATCCCAGCACTCGGGAGGCAGGGGCAGGTGGATCTCTGTGAGTTCGAGGCCAGCCTGGTCTACAAGAGCTAGTTCCAGGACAGAAACCAAAAGCTACGGAGAAACCCTGTCTCGAAAAATCAAAAAAAAAACAAAAAAACAAAAAAAAAAAACCTTTTGCTTCTTTTTATCACTATCTATACTCTTTTTCTCTCTCCTAAGCCTATGTACGTTTATCCAACACTGCGACCCATTTAGAGGTCTTTTCCATGCGAATTTGTCTTTATTGGATATTTATAATTATTTTTTTTCTATTTTTTAAAAAATATTTATTTATTTATTTATTATGTATACAATATTCTGTCTGTGTGTATGTCTGCAGGCCAGAAGGGGGCACCAGACCTCATTACAGATGGTTGTGAGCCACCATGTGGTTGCTGGAATTGAACTCGGGACCTTTGGAAGAGCAGGCAATGCTCTTAACCACTGAGCCATCTCTCCAGCCCCCAACCCCTCAGGTTTTATGTGGATTTTGTCCACCATGTTGGCGCACCGATTGTTGAGGGAGGCTGCTTGTTTGTTTCCCAGCTGCCCAGCAGCTCAGGCCCGAAATAATCACACAGAATTGTATTATTTTTTTTTCCTTTTTTTTAAAGATTTATTTATTTATTATGTATACAACATTCCTTCCATGTATGCTTGCATGCCAGAAGGGGGCACCAGGTCTCATTACAGATGGCTGTGAGCCACCATGTGGTTGCTGGGAATTGAACTCAGGACCTCTGAAAGAGCAGTCAGTGCTCTTAACCTCTGAGCCATCTCTCCAGCCCCCAGAATTATATTATATAAATCACTGCTTGGCCCACTAGCTCTAGTTTCTTATAGGCTAGCTCTTAAATCTTAATTTAACACATTTCTAGTAATCTGTGTATCACCACGTGGCTATGACTTACCGGGTAAAGTTCCCAGCCTCTGTCTCCAGAGGGGCTACATGGCTTCTCGCTGACTCCGCCCTTCTTTCTCCCAGCATTCAGCTTAGTCTTCCCCGCCTACCTAAGTTCTGCCCTATCAGTACCATTGGTACTCACAGCATACAGAGGGGATTCCACATCAAGCACCTTCAGGGTTTTGTTGTTGTTATTGTTGTTGTTGTTGTTGTTTGAAAGTCTCACATAGCCCAGGCTGGTCTTGAACTTGCTATGTAGCCCCAGGCATTGAATTCTTTATCATCCTGCCTTCTAACAACAGACACAGCTCCATTGCACACATTCCTCTGGAACATCGAGCATTTATATGCCAGCCTCAGGACTGTATTTCTTCCATGTTCACATAGCTGCATCCCTCTGAGGCACCTGGGCACACTCACACCCTCTGCTGGACAGCACCCAACATTCCTACGGGGGGCGGGGGAGACTGACATGCTGGACTGAGGGAGGGGAGAGAACCAAGGAGCAAGGATGGGGTCCCCAGAAGCAAAAGTGGTCCTGGGTTGAGCTGTCTGGCCATGGTTCACGCTCACTGGCTAGGTGAACCTGCCTGGCTCCCACCTCTTCCCCTGCCTGCACCAGCCTGCTCCAGTTCCCTCGGGGGCAGAGATGGGGACAGGGGTGAAGGAGGACAAGGACAGAGGGACTCAGGATGGGGAGGGCTGTCAGGAGGCCCTCAGCGACTGCATCCCCCAAGGCAGTCACCAACCCTGAGCTCAGCTGGCGTGAAGGAGAGTGTACACACTCATGTGCTGGTGTAGAGTGGCTTGGTGCCCACAGCAGGCACCCAGGCAGCTAGAACTCAGGATCTGGGCCCGAAGCCTGGAGATCCGGGATGAGATGCAATGTCAGAAACTCCTGGTCTCTAGCAGGTGCAGCATTCCTCGCTGGCTTCCAGCTCTGTCTCCCACCAGTTAGTCCTAGTAATTCAAACACCCACCTGGGCCAGAGGTGCACCAGTGCTCCCAAGTCAGCCTCCTTCCTTCCTGGCTGCTCCCAGGCCCCCTTCAGGCCCCAGTGCTTGGCCTGGCAGGTGAGTCATTCTATTTACCTTTCCTGAGAGGCCTCCTGCCCCTTCATTTGTTTCAATTAGCCTGGCTCTGACTGAGCAGCTACAGCCCACGTGGCCCGATGCCGGCTGTGTGCACCCCTCCCCCAGGGTCCTGCATTTTCTACCACCAGCAACTAGAGCAGAGGTACCTGGCTGGCTCCTTCCACACCCTGTCTTCATACTCTGCTAGGCATCAGAGCACAGACCCAAGGGACAGCCCTAGAGGTGAACCTCAGTCCTTCACGGGTCCCATTCTGCCCAACAGGGCTCTGGCTTGCTCGCATGGCTGAGTCAAGAGCCTTTATCACAAACACTTCCTCAAGGGACAACTTTAGACTCAGGGTGCTCCTGGAGGAAGCCCCACTGTGGTGACAACTGTTTCCTGGACTGCGTTAGCTTAGCCCTCTCCGCCTGGCCTGTTCCCATGCACAGAGGCTCCAGCCTCCCAGACTCCAGTACTGCCTGGGCTCTTCAAGCCCCGCTGTCCAGGATATGCACATCAGCTACTACTCGACCCTTTATTGAAGGACATACATTGGGCACACGGGACATGCCAGCACACGGGAACACCACAGTTCATAGTATAACTCCTCCATCAAATTCACCCCCACTCCATCAGTGTGGCCTGTGCCAGGGTCAGGACAGGTTGAGGGAGTGTGGACAGCACATGCTGCTGTCTGGCTGTGTTGTCTCTCCAGCCTTGGCCAGGCGTCTGGTTCTGAGTTGTCCTGTAAGGCCCTTACTGAATCCAGCCTGGCTGGGCTCCCGTGGGGCTTCAGGTGGGGCTGTCAGTCAGCCCTGAGAGACTGCTGGTGATGGAGGTCTCCACAGAGGGTTTAGTCCCGTTGCAGCTGCCTGCAGTCACGAGCTGAAGTTTCTCACCAGGTTCACCGTGACTAGACCCTGCTGGGGCCGTGTGGTTGCCACGGCAGCTAGCCATCTGTTCCTCCTTAAGGGCTTTGCCTTCTCGCCATCGCCTCCAACGCCGCAGTAGCTCTGCCTGCACCTAGGGGGACCATGGGTAGGACCACTCCGCCATCCCAACTCGCTAGGGTCCTGCCTGGGTCACTCTGAGGTGACCAGCCTCAGTCTAAGCAGACCTAAAACACGGCAGACTCCACAATGGGTACAGCAGGGCAGTTTGTCACCAGGGAAGGCGGGAATCACCTACACACTGAACTCCTTGAGGACCTGGAGGAACCTGACATACAACACATGCAACCATAACAATGGGGAGGAAGCTATGGTCATACTAGGGCATGGTTGGCCTCTCACCCGGCTCCAATCCTGGGGCCAGTCTCACCTACCTCCTTGTTGAGGAAACAGTAGAGGACAGCCACCAGCAGACCCTGGAAAAAGAGGGAGGTCAGGGGCAACACTCTGGGCCCGAGGTATGGGGGGTATGGCGGGGACTCACCTGGAAAGAACTGAAGAAGAGGTCGAAAAAGAGCTTGATGGAACGGAGGGCGCCCTGGGCGTGCTCGTCAGTCACAAAGGCAAAGACCACCTCATGGACCCCCAGCAGAGGGATGAGGGTCAGCGTGGACCTGGCTAGCCTGCAGGGGCAGAGCTTGAGCGTCCTCACCTGCCGGGGCTCCTGGGCTCTCCCCACAAAGGCACCAGTCCCCAACCCCAACCCTCTTTGGCCTGGGCCCTGGCTTTTGCCCATGCCCACCGGAATTTGTAGTCAGCATAGTGCATCTGCCGGTCACGCAGCTTGGCCACAAGAAGGTGAATGATGCGGACAAAGATGAAGAAATTGATCTGTGAGAGGGAGACCAAGGTTAGGGGCCGCCTGAGAACTTCCTGTGTCTGGCATGGTGCTCATGTGTCCCCCTCCAGGCGAGGTTGTTGCCAAGTGAGCCCTAGACACAGGGTTCCAGGGCTGGCAGGCATCCAGCCAAGGACAGGCAGCCTGACCCACAGCCCAGGCTATACAGCCTCTTGGATAAGTGCTGGGACTATCCTCCTCCTAGCCTGAGAAGGGAGAGTAACCCTTTTCCTGCTGAGCGCAACAAAGTAACTTGTTTCCTCACCAATATGGCCAGGAAGACAGGGAACCGCAAGATCCACCAGAAACCCATGTTGTCATTGCTGGTCCAGCACCTGCAAGGGCCAGTTGCTCACATCTTGGGGATACATGCAGCTCCCCAGCACCTACCCCTATCTGCTGGGATCTACTGAGTGCCCCAAGAAAGGAAAAGAGAGCGTCTTTAATGAACCCCAACTCCAGACCCTGGATTTACATTTCTTGCCAAAGTGTGACCCTCACCCGATCTCCCTACCCCCAGGGTCACTTTACAAAGCCCAGTGCCATCGGCCCAGCTGCCCCAGCCCATCCTCTGAACTCATACTCACTGGACATTCTCAAACAGACACTTGACCACCACCCAGGGGATGACAAACAGCAGGGGCGCCCCTGTGGGAACAGCAGCTGTGGTTCCAGGGCCCCGGTTAGCTTGCCTCCCCGTTCTCCCCACAAGCCTACTCACCCCAGCCAATGCCCAGGTAGAGGGAAAAGAAGCTCTTCTCTTGGAAGGTGGCAAGGCTCAGCAGGCTGTACAGGTACACACCCTCCACCAGCAGCCAGCAATAGTTGGCGATGATGCCGTACTGCGTGATCACCGTGGCCACTCGGCAGCCAGCCACCGCCTGAGCAAGGGGAGGCACGATTGTGGCCCACGCCACCCTGCCACCCCATACAGGCTGGCGAGCACTCAGAGATCTGGCTCACCCCATCGCTGAGCCAGATGCTCACGCTAAGGTCATCTCCAATCTTCTGGCTGTAGCGTGTCTTGAGCAGCCAGTCTACGACCAGCACAGAGCCGGCCTTGAGCACAAAGGATGCAAACAGGTTCCCGTGGATATAGTTCCGGGTGCAGTGCATCTTCCTGTACGACAGCAAGTCAGCACCACCCCTGTCCTGTCCCTCTGCCCCCCTTCACCACAGCGGGCGTGAGCTGAGCGATCAGCAATATACCTGAGGCCCAGCAGGATGACCAGGGCAAGGAGCAGGGCCCCCAGGGACAGACTGTAGCCCACAGTGTACATCACCTGGTAGCTGCTATACATCTTGGCCACTTCCTTCTGCAAACCAGAGGCTGAGCAGGGCCGGGCAGCAACTCATCCCCCCGCCGCCACCCCACCCCCCCGACTCCACTCAGCCCCACTGGGATACCACCCCAAACCCTCCAGAGCTGACCTGGACCTCGATCTCTTCGTCGTCCATCTGGCACTGGGAGGCATTGCGCCATGGCTGCCCCTGCGGCCCTCGCACCCACTGCCCGTCAGGCCCGCACCTCTTGAACACCAGGCGATGCTGCACTGGGATTGAGTGCAAGGCTCAGATCAGCCCACCCCCATGCTCCACCCCCTAGGCTTCCCAGGGCCTCCATAGTTACCTTTGTGGTACCAAGGTAGGTACCAGGGGCAGGAGATGTTAGCTGTGGTATTGGGTGGGGTGTCAGGCCAGCAGGAGTACTTGTCGAAGGTTCTATTACAAACCAGCTCTGTGAAGATGAAGGAGGGTGGAGGAGGGGCTCCCATCGGGACCAGAAGCCCCCCCCCCAGCCCCCCCCCCCTGAGAATCACCATCACTTCATTGAGCCTGCATCCCAAGAGGCTGCCTCCCTGACGTGAGACACAAGGCGCAGGCCCTGGCCAGTTATTTTGCCTCCTGAACTCCATATCCGCCTCCCCCTCCAGCCCACCAATGCTTGAGTTTGCCAAGGTCCCTTTCCTTCAAGATCTCCCATCTCAGCCAGGCGGTGGTGGTGCATGCCTTTAATCCCAGCACTTGGGAAGCAGAGGCAGGTGAATCCCTGTGAGCTTGAGGCCAGCCTGGTCTACAAGAGCTAGTTCCAGGACAGCTAGGACTGTTAATAGGAAACCCTGACTCGAAAAGCCATTAAAAAAAAAACAAAAAACCTCTCCCATCTCAAATGTGCCCCAAATTGTGGCTTTTTTCAAAACTAGTATTAATTTTTTTTCACATATTTATTTTATGTGTGTGCACACGTGTGCACATAAGCATATGGGGTCGTAGGACAGCTTGCATGATTCATTTCCCTGTTCTCACTGTGTGAGTCCCACATCTCACTGCCCCCCTCCTTGTGATACATTCCTTCCCAGATGTTGAGCTCCGGTTTGGTTGGCATTCTTTCCAGGCCCAGGCCGAGTCCCAGCTACAGCTCCTACATCCTCCTCCCTCTCTTCCGGGCACTGGTCATCCCCCTCAACTGGACAGTGGTATGGACCCAGTCTCTCTCGGCACCTACCCGTGACCCTATCCACTGTCTGCCCACTGTGAGCAGTGAAAGCAGAGGCATCTGATGGCTGAGGAGGGGGCGTCCTGCAGCAGGACAGCAGAACAAGCCAGCCACGAGCCAGTTCTGCAATTCTACTGTCTCCTGACCGTGAAGCCATGGGGAAGCTCTTGCCTCTGGAGGTCAGTCGCCTGGCCTGTATCTGGGGGCAGGTGGCTGGGCATAAAAAAGCCATTGAACACTCCCATAAGAAGGTCTCCTGCACTGCACAGAGGCAGGGAACAGGATCCAGGAGTCTGCAGGTGGGACTCACCCGTAGGTGGGGGCAGCAGGCTCAGGTTGTGGTGGCACTGATCACCATAAAGCTTCCACTTCTCGAACAAGAAGTCCATCACCTGAGCCGAGGGTGCTTTCGGCTGGGAGACCGGTGGGCCAGCAACCAGGGAGACAGACGGTACAGGGAGCCATCAGCACTTCTGTGCAGAGCAGGCAGCCCTCCGTGCGGGGTGTGGGGTGCACAGCGCTCACCAGAAATGACAGCAGCAGGAGCAGCAGGTGGGGACTGTGGAGCGGGGTGCAAGGCATGCCCTTGGGTAGCCACCCCCCACATCTGGCAGGGGTTGCACGTCTGGGTCCTTGGGGTGTGTACACCCCTCCTCAGGCTGCAGAGAACAAGAATAGAGAGTCTGGAGAAAGTCTATAGAGTATCGTGTCCCCTAAGACCAAGCCTCTGAGCCTAAGGCCTCCTGATAGCTGAGGCTTGTAGAGGGGACGTGTGAGTAGCTCCCAGTGTCAACTCAGAGACAAGTGACTATGGGCAGCTATTTTCCTGCTCCCTGGGGCTGACAGGAGTCAGCCTTCCTATCTTACCACCCAGATCTCTCAGACCGGCACCAACTACCTCCTCCCTCCATTCTGTTGCCCTGGCTGGGCCCAGACCTCCCCACCTTGCTTAACCCTTGGAAAGTTGACTGGTCAGCAATCTAACCCAAGATAAAGAGAGTGAGGGTAGCGTGCCCAGGCCCGTCAACACTTGGCCCTTGTGTCGGAACCATTCCTGGACCGCCAGGAGCCAGGCGTGTGTTAGGGCATGTGTTCATATGGTCTCCTCTACCGTATGTCCCCTTTCCCAGGACCAGTGTGTCCATCTAATGTTGTGGACCTTGTACGAGGCTCTCAGACTGGGCCTCTTGGTCACAAACTGGTGGCACATTCCTTTAAGAGCACTGCTACTGCCAGGGCCCAGATGGGGGACACCTCTGCCTGATGCTGCCTGTAGGTCCTGGGAACACCAGTGACAGGCCCTGAGCAGTAGCAACTACACACACATCAGTCCCACACTGCTTCAGAACCCTTCCTGGCTCCGATGCATTTTTGTGAAGGGAGAGAGAAGAGCTACTTAGGGCCTGTAAGAGGTCGTACTATGAACTTCCCAGGGCTGAGGCAGGCCTCTCTCCTGTAAACCCACAGACAGGATATATAACACAGAGCCAGGCATGGTGGCACAGACCTGGAGTCCTAGCATTTAGGAAGCAGAAGCAGGAGGATCACCCAAAGTTCAAGAGCAGCCTGGTCTATATAGTGAGTTCTTGGCCAGCTGGGACGATATAGCAAGATCTGCTCCCTCCCACAGAGGTGGGGAAGAGAGGGAGGATGAAGTAGAGAAGAGAAGAACATGGATATGGCTAAGGCAGAGGAGTTTGCAGGGATACCAGGTGCCAGAAAAGGGGACCCCTGGATTTTAGCCTGCTATAGTAAGCCCAGTTGAGCTCTAGAGGCAACAGCTTGATAGGGTTCCCTTCACTTCTGCCCTGCCCTCCTGTACTTCTCCTCCTCCTCTTCTCCTTCTCCTCCTCCTCCCCTCCTCCTCCTCCTCCTCCTCCTCCTCCTCCTCTTCTTCTTCTTCTTCTTGACAGGGTTTCTTTATGTAGCTTTGGTGCCTGTCCTGAAACTAGCTCTGATAGACCAGGCTGGCCTTGAACTCACAGAGTTCTGCCTGCCTCTGCCTCCTGAGTGCTGGGATTAAAGGTGTGTGCCGCCACCACCACCTGGCCACTCCTGTACTTCTGACCCCCTTTGGTCACACCTGGCTCATAGCTTACTGTGGGACTCCTGAGCCTCATTCTTGGTCAGTAGAGTCTAGCAGGAGGCAACATCAGGGAGTTTTAAGTCCCTGGTACCTGACCCTTAGAGTAAAATAAATACCCACAGAGTATAGGGTTCCTGCAGAGAACAAAACAGCAAACAGGCTGAAAAGGAGAAGTTTAGGTGTCCCTACCTTGCCGTCACCAAGTAGCCTTACTCTCCTGATTTGGATCAAATTGCCCCATCTGCTGCCCAGGTCACTAGTGGGCTCGGTATGGAGAAGTCAGAAACTGGGCCTTTACCTACTATGTCTGGTCCCCACCGTAGAGCTTCTGGGGTCCTCCAGTGGCTCTGAAAAAAAGGAAGGGTAGAAATGGGAAGGCTTCAGGGTTGAATAACAAGGAATGACCAGCATGAGTAGACAGATAGTGGGGATACAGGTAAGGGGCACGGGGAGAAAGAATACTGGTCCAAGTGGTCCAAGGCCCTGCAAGGGTGGACATCAGTCCAGGAGCAGCAAACCGTCCTTAGAGCCCAGGTCTCCCTCCATTGCCCTGTTGAAAGCATGAGCGTTCAACAGCTGGGTGGTCCCAGCAGCCTGCAGCCCCAGCACTCAGGAGGGAGAGGCAGACAGATCTCTGAGCTCAAGGCCAGCCTGCTCTACAGAGTGAGTTCCAGGACAGCCAGAGCTACATAACGAGATCCTGTCTTCTAAAATCCAGAAATAAGACTGAGAATACTTGAAGATTTCTTCCCTCACAGATCATGGAGGGTGAGCTAAAACAGGTTCAGGAACCATATATCGGGACTTCTGTGGGTGGTAGGGGAACAACAAGGGAGTTTCTAGGCAGTTCGCTGGACGGTGAGCTAGGGAACATCATGGGGTGGAGACAGATTTTCATTCCCACAAGGCTGAGACGCTGGGGTCTCTGCAGAGAGCATCCGGGCCTCATGATGAAGCCAGGGAAGGGGGCAAAGGTGAAGTTCAGGACCAACAGGGAATGCTTTTCCTGTCACTGAAGGGGAATGACCACTGGATGGCCCAGGGCTTTGTCATCTGTAGGACAGGACTGCTCAGCCTACCCTGTGCAGCCGGCCTCCTGTCCCCCGGTGGGGGGTAAATCCTGACACTCAAACAGAGTCCATCAGCGCTGATAAATATTCACACAATGAGAGCGCAGTCCTAGCCCCGGGGTGCCAGGTAGCCAGGTGTGGATGCAGCGCCTTTGCTCCTGTGGCCGGAGCTGCAGGTCTTTTTCCACCTTATTACCCTCCCTGGCAAGGAACAGATGGGGAGAAGGGACAATGGACCAGGGACCCTACTCTCCTCCCTTCTTGGACGAGGCAGCTGAAATCCCTCTCAGGTCTCAGACTTCATGAGGCCCAACTGTCGGGGAAATACAGAAGATGCAAGACCCAATTCCTAAGACGTCAGCCTGTCTTGTCTTTACTGCGTGCGCTTGCTTATGCACGCCAGCTACCGGGACTGGCACTGGCCCATGCCAGCACTGCTCCCAGCCGGTTCCAACAGGACAAAGGACGCCTGGGTATTTGCAGTGTGGCCAGCGAGCCACCGATTTTCCCTGCAGGTGGCTGAGGGTAAGACCGATGGCCCAGCGGCCAAGGGAGGTATCACTGGGGAGGCTCTTGGTTCCCTAGGAGCCAAAATCAAAGAGGTAGCAAAGTCTTTGAGAAATCCGTAAAGTTAACATATGGAAGAGGGTTTTGGTCAAAACAGAAAAACCAGCCCAGGTCATAGACCTAGGGCAGGGACAGGATCAGGGTCCACAGGCTGTTGACAAAACCTAATTCCTGAGTCCTTCCCCCGAAAGGGGGCGGGCAGGCCCTGAGATACCCGCCAGGGTGAGCTCTGACTCCCCCTCCCATGTCTCCAAGACAGAAGGACAGCAAAGTATTTCTGGTCGATCCTCGGAGGGTGCCAGAGCCAAGAAGTGAACTTCACGGGTCTGAAGTGGGAAGGTGGTCGCTGGGGAGGCAGGAGCAGAAAAAGGGGCGGTGGCCCGCGCTCGCAGGAGTCAAAGTGAACGATTGTGAGCCGCGGAAGAAAAACTCTCGAGGCAGGGTGCCTACGCATCGCACCTTATCCCAGCAAGACTGGGTCACTACTCGGGAGTCCTGGGCATCAGGGACACATAAGAGGGGAAAGCGGATCGAACGGAGGAAATGAGAGAGCCATTGGGGGAGGGGCGGGGGCCCAGAGTGCATTAGGCGCGCAGTGGGGCAGTAGGACCCACGCCGCACCCACCCTCTCGCTGCTCCCGGATTGCGCGCCCGGAGGACAGAAAGCAGAGGTTGAGACCTCCAACCTGACAGACAATTAGGGATCAGGTGACCTCCAGACAGTAGGACCTATCCCCGGGCTGGAAACTGAGGTGTTCGACGGGGGCGAGAACCGCGACACCTAAGACCCCAGGGACAGCTGGCCCCCCACATCCAGGCCCCGGGCCGGCTCCTCACCATCCTCCTCTGCGCGCCCTGGTCACGCACGTGATCCAGCGCCCCACAGACCGCCTGGGACCGTCCCCAAGGGGCCCGACCCTGGTGCTTACTGTGCTCTGTCGCTCGGGCTAGGGCTGTGCGTCTCGTGGTCCTCGAACTCGCTCAGGTCTGGGAGCTGGCAGCCACTCGTCTCCGCCGCACTGCGATCGGGGTCGGCGCCGGCTCCGCGCCGGCCGCTAGCAAACTTTCCGGCGGCGACGTTGGGCGGCGGCAGCGGCGAAGGGGGAGGGGATGGGGGCGGGGGCGGCCGGCAGGGGACTGGGAGAGCCGAGGGTCCGCGCCCTGCGCCTTAGCGCAGCGGACCTGTTGCGAGCCCTCAACCCTCCCGGTGTAACCTCGACGGCCTCTCCCGTGCGGCGCTCGCTCTGCGGATGTGCACCGAGCGCACCAGCTTCCCCTCCCCTCTGGCACACAGAGCCTTGCGCAGGTCCTGACCCGGACTCCGACCCCACGGGTCCCTTCCGAGGACCCTCGCTTGGTGTACCGCGACCCTGAAGATCCAATCTTGCACACCCTGGACTTCAGGACCCTCCGCGAGTGAATCCTGACCTGGCCAGTGCGGATCTGAGCTCGCTAAGGAGAGAAATAGGATGTGACTCAGCGCGCCCCTTTCTCTTGCAATATCTGCTGTCCTGGGGTCGCACCATTGCATTCAGGTTGCAGTCCAGATTTTCCGGAAGATTAAGTCCCTTACTTAAGAAGTCTCATCTGGCTCCTGAGTGAAACTCTTGCAGCTGTCACACGAGCGTCAATCACAGACGGGGGAGGGGGCGGGGCGGGGGGCGGTGCTGGAGGTAGGGAAGGTCAGGTATAAAGGGCTGCTTTGCAGGTTTTAGACAAGGGGATCCCCTAAGAGTGTCTCTTAATCCCGTGCCAGGTTACATCCCCCTGTGGCCCTCAGGGACTTGTCCTGTCCATCAAGCCCCCTCCAACACCGCTCTTTTGGCAATCCGTTGACCTGACCCGGACCTCAGTCCGCCCACCCTTCCCGTTGCTCCTTTACTGAGGAGTCAAATGTTCTGAGCCCCAGGTTCATCTTTCACCTCCTAATCTCAGCCCTGCAAATTCTCTCCCGCTCCGCTCCATTGCAAACCCCTGTGAGCCCTTGAACCACCTTTTTAGGGCCTCAGCTCACGTCTGCCGGGGCACTCCCCTCTTGCCCAGTGACCTTGGGGTCAGAAACTCCCAAGGGTGCTTTTGGGCTTCACTTCTCTGGCTTCTCCACATCCTGTAACACTGAGGGTCATGTTGCTTTCTAGAAAGTTCTCCGTGTGGCTGTGGCTTTCAGGCTTTCTCGGGCTTTCTTGGAGATGTCCCTCCTCACGATTTCCACGGTCCCCAGACCACTCATCCTTACTGCTGAGGGCCATGTCTCCTACCAATGCGCCGTTTCCTGCACCTCTTACCTGCAGATCACCTGGCCGTGAATCCAAGGCCCCTCCAGCAAGAGTTTATTTCCTCTGAAACACATTTGGTCTCCTCTCTGTCACCTACTGGCCCCCTTCCCAGACCTCCCCTCTGGTCCTTGAATAAACTCTTTATTCAGATAACTACCCTTTTCCAGGTCTCCATTTCTGTTTTAGGGGACAGTGAATCCTGCGCCCCAAGCTGTAGGTCCTCCACTGGTGAGCCAGTCTGCCCTCAAGTGCCTCTGAGGCAGTTCCTGCTTTGTACTCTGTCGGCACTGCAGGACGACCCCCATCTGGTCCCTACTCCTCCTCCTGTGCGGTAGGACTCAGGAAGAGCAAAGATCTGGGCTCCTTGTCTTCTGTACACCAATTTCAGAAATTCTGCATGGAGCCGCCCTCTCTGTTTCACTCCCGGCAATGACCAGAAGGCAAAGACCTGTTTGCTTCTGCCGTGCAGGGGCCGCTTGTGCAAGGCTGAGGAATATATGCAGCCCCTCCTTCAATACCTCTTCCACTTCCCTGGGGAGCAGACTGGAAGGCTGAGCACCGTGGCCAAGGGCTGCCCTTCTGTGAGCTGGGTAATGAGACTTAGGGTGAGAGGCACCGTGAACTCTGTGACAATGTGGCCTCAAACTGAGGGTGCCAGCTTGCTCCTCGGGGGTCAGGGACAGAGCAAGCAACGTGTCTCGGTTGCCTCTGTCTTGGTTTAGTGGTTCACTTCGGCTTCTTGTCCCTTGCGGAGGAATCTTCCCTGGCAGACATAGGACTTTCCTGGTGGGACCCTCGGAGGACCTTACCCTCCGGCCTTGCTTTCTTGAGGACAGAGTGTGGGGGGAACAGAAGGAAGGGACAGTTTTGAGAGTGTCTGAGAGGCAATACAGAGCTGACTGCAAAGGCTGCTTGGCCCCTGGTGGGCTCTATGTACCTCACTGAGTCTGCTTGGTCACATTTCGTCAGACTCCTGGACTGTTGGTGATCCCACAGGTGCTCAACCTTGTGAGATCCAGTTTAGGGGCTGGAGAAAGACTCAGTAAGAGTACATACAGTACATGAGGACCTATGTTTGGATCCCTGAACACGCATCTGTTGTGTGTACCTGGAGCCTTGGTGCTGGAGGTTATAGACAGGGGCTCACTGGGGCTTGCTGGGTGCCAAACCAGCCTAAAAACAGTGAGCTCAGGTCACAGAGAGACCCTGTCAACAGGGAGGAAGGCAGAGAGTGACAGAGGAAGACACCTCCAACTATTCCTTACTGGCACCGTTGTGTGTGCGTGTGTGCACACTTGTGTATGTGGGGTGTGTATGCGCGCACACATACTCATGCATACAATTATAATCTATTCTGTTTTGTTTTTGGTTTTTTGGAGGCAAGGTAGCCCTGTGTAGCCCTGACTGTCGTGGAACTCTCTGTAGACCAGGCTGGCCACAAACTCACTGAGATCTGCCTGCCTCTTCCTCACAAGTGCTGGGATTAAAAGTGTGCACCATGACGCCCGGTTTCAGCGATGAGCCTGAAGTCTGTGGGAGCACAGACTCCACAGCCTCTGCCTCCCCTACCCTGGTCTGCCCTTAGCTTGCTTCCTACTAGGTTGATGAAGCAGATTTCCCTGAGCTTCTGCCATGGGCTGTTGGTTCCCACAGGCCATGCTGTGCTGAGCTCAGTTCCAGACCCGAGTGTCTGCCCCATAACAAGAACCCTGAATAAAGTGCTTCTGCCTCTTGACCGTTCGGCTCCGAGTTCCTCATATCAAGAGATATAAACAGAGTGGAGATGAGAACGAAGGGGGCTGGGCCTTCCCATGTGTAGCCAGCGGCTGGGGGCCGGGGACCCGGATGGCGCCTGGTGTCCACGCCTTTGGGGGTTCTTAGTGAGAATGACCTCCCAGGAAATGCACTGTTTTGTGTTCCAAGACAGGCTGCACATTGCTCAGAAAACAAGCAGAGGCCATGCAGGGAAAGGGGCAGCAGCCAGTACTGCAGGACCCTGGGGCGGCAGAGTTGCAGCGTTGCCTTCCAGAGAGTTCTCTTCTCTCCCTTCACCTCTCCTTCAGGGTCCCAAATACCTCAAACCAGCCTTGGAGTGTCAATGTTGGCAAAAATGGCTTTGAACAAGTGAACGACTGGTCTTCCCACTAATACTTCCTGGTTACCGGGATTTCAGGCATTCACCACCATGCCTGGATTCCTTTCCCCTTTCTGTTTTCTGTTTGTCCTGCTGGGATGGAATCCAGGTCTTGGGGCATGCAGGTAGCTGCTGTCCAGGCCCCTTTACTGGGGTAGCACAGCCCGTAGTTCAGGCTGATCTCAGAAGTCATACATAGCTGAAGACTCCTCCTCCAGCCTCCCCTTGTAGCTAAGGGTAGCCCAGGACTATATAGCTCAGGCTGCCCTAAGTTAAGTCTTCCAAGTGTTGAAATTACAGATATAAATCACTATGACTTGCTACATTAGTATTTTGAGAAAAAAACATTTATTTTGTTCATTTTTGTGTATGCGTATGTATCTGTGTGTTTGTGTGTGTGCATTCTCTTCCAGGAGAGGCTGGAAGAAGGCACTGGATGGGAGATTGTGACCTAGGAAGCAAGGGTGTTGGGAAACAAAGTTTGGTCTTCTGAAAGAACAGGATGTGCTCCTAACTGCTGATTCATCTCAAAGAGCACTTGGGACCAAGTGTTCAAATGCCCAGGACTACGTGGAACATCCCAAACCACCGCATTACCTATTTTCTGTAGTCCCAACACTCGGGATGTGAGCCAGGACACGCTGGGCAAATGTGTGAGGTCCTGGCTACCACTGAGTCCTTTTTTAAATACCTTGTTTCTGGAAGCAAGTTTTATTAAGTTGTCCAGCCTGACACTGAACTCTTTCTATACGTCTTTAATTAATAAAAATTTTTGGGAGGACTTTTTTTTTTTCGTGACAGGGTTTCTCTGTGTAACAACTCTAGCTGTCCTGGAACTTACTCTTGTAGATCAGGCTGGCCTCTGCCTCCCGAGTGCCGGTATTAAAGGCATGTGCCACCACCGCCTGGCTATAAAGATGTTTTAAATTGCATTTTTTATTTGTTTGTGTGAGATGACTCATCAGGTAAAAACACCTGCTGTCAAATGAGGTCCTGAATTCCAACCTCAGGTCCCAGGGGACAGAAGGAAAGAAGTAACTCTTTCCGGGGTCCTCTGACCTGCATGGGAACACCTTGGCATGGGTATATCTACACACACACACAAACAAAGACACTAAAATAAGCTATCAGGTGGCAAGCTTTCTTTTTTTTTTTTTTTTTTTTTTGGTTTTTCGAGACAGGGTTTCTCTGTGGTTTTGGAGCCTGTCCTGGAACTAGCTCTTGTAGACCAGGCTGGCCTCGAACTCACAGAGATCCGCCTGCCTCTGCCTCCCGAGTGCTGGGATTAAAGGTGTGAGCCACCACCGCCCGGCTGTGGTGGCAAGCTTTCTTATAGATTTTGGGTATAAATCTTTCATTAGAAACCTGTTTTGGGGGGACTGGAGAGATGGCTAGGGGACTGGAGAGATGGCTCAGAGGTTAAGAGCACTGGCTGCTCTTCCAGAGGTCCTGAGTTCAATTCCCAGCAACCACATGGGGGCTCACAACCATCTGTACTGAGATCTGGCGCCCTCCTCTGGCCTGCAGGCATACATCGAGACAGAATGTTGTATACATAATAAATAAATAAATAAATCTTAAAAAAAAAAAAAAAGAACCAAAAGCTACGGAGAAACCCTGTCTCGAAAAAATCAAAAAAAAAAAAAAAGAAAGAAAGAAACCTGTTTTGGGCTGGAGAGATGGCTCAGAGGTTAAGAGCATTGCCTGCTCTTCCAAAGGTCCTGAGTTCAATTCCCAGCAACCACATGGTGGCTCACAACCATCTGTAATGAGGTCTGGTGCCCTCTTCTGGCCAGAAGGTATACACACAGACAGAATATTGTATACATAAGAAAGAAAGAAAAGAAAGAAAGAAAGAAAGAAAGGAAGAAAGAAAGAAACCTGTTTTTATAAGTATTCTCCGCCATTTTTGCGACATGGTTTTAT